AAATGTTATTCACTGTTGACCTACCAGCCAGCAAAAGTTGTGGAAATGAAGCAGATTAAGTGACCATTCTTCCAACTGCGCCACTTTATAAAATTGTTGAAAAACCTGTTCAAAAGATCAAAATGAGAAAACTTTCAGAAAACATTAAAGCAGCTTTTTTTATTTTACAATACTAAGAAGAAACTTTGACAAGCTTTGAAAAGTAATAATCAACAGAAACTTTCGTTCTATAAAACTTGCCTTTGTTTTCCATCTCTATCTTTTCATTGCATTCTAGTAGCTTAATGTTTATAAAATTATACTGCAAAAATATCATTGCTGCACACAAAACCAAAATCGGTAGAAGTTGAGTAGCACAGTTTGTTCAAAGAAGATGGCTGATCAGTGCATTAACTATACTAATGCGAGTTTAGCGAAAAAAATTTAATTCTTTGACGTAGGAAAAAAATACAACAGAAAAAAATGTTGCTGAGAAAAATGATGTTCCAATTTTTCGTTGAGCAAAAAAAGGAACGGGGGACACCAAAAACACATCATTTTTAGTTTTGAGCGCTGATTTTGAACTAAATAGTCATAGAGATCACAGAGAGAGACAAATCTGTATTTCGTTTTCATTTTCACTTTGGACGACAACTGCGCCATCTTGGAAATTCGACATTATATACGGAGAAATTTTTACGGAGAACAAGAAAACAGAATAGAACGCTTTCCCTCCCAACGAACTAAAACCATCAACGAACGACATCATCAAACACAAATCTCTGAAATACAAAGTTGTTGTCCAGTGCCGCTGCCGCTTCATGCTGAACAGTCCACGGCATTTATTGTCTTTTCTAATTCGACACCATCCAACCCGGCATTCTAATCACCCGGCAATCGCTGCACTTCAAACTCCTTAATTTTTCAAAAACAAAAAACCTTCGTCTTTTCCCTCCTCCCCCTCTCCCACTTTTATCAATCTCACCTTTCACTCTTTAAACATTATTATCAAATCTCACAACCACTGCTACCACTACTACTGTTACTGAAGCTTCAATAGGTAAAGCATCAGATACTGTCATTTGCTACTTTTCTATATTTCTTTATTCATTTATTTCATTTTTTATCTTTCCCCACCGTCCCACTAAATAGTCAAAAATAACCATTTTTTGTTCAGTTCCCTTAATTTCACAGCAACACATATGTTGTTGTTGTTGTTGTTGCTTTCCCAAAACCTTCTTCCTTTCCTCTTAGCTTTAAAGAAATCAGCTCACTTAGCATTGAATAAAGACGAGTAATCCCTACTAAAGAATATAGCTACAAATAAAACCGTTTACTTGACACTTAACAGAAATTTACTCGCCACTCGTCTTTCAGTTTCAATTTCTAGTTATGGCTGTCGTAATAAAACTTATTTCTCTATGTTTTAACACCGCCTAAACCATGAAAGTAAGAGCCATTTCTGAAATGTTTTTTCATCAACAAAGATTCCAAGTGAGAGTAAAATATGTATTAAAGTCACAAGTGCAACCAGCCAACTTCTTTCGCAACTGACACCTATATTTTCCTCCGTCCTCCCTAGATTTCTACTCTGCGAAGCTTCATTCATTCCGAAACCAAAAACCACTGCCTTCTGTAGATCTCCCCTCTAGTTACTTTATTATCCACTTTTGGCCGCCTTTTCCTCTTTCCCTTTCCATATGGGGCTCAACTCCTCCTATAGGAACTTCAGGATCTTAAATACAATTTTCCAGTGATAAGTCTTACTCAGCGGCAAAGACAAAGAAAAAAGTCTGAAAAGATCATCTTCAACACTCATTTTAGCCGTTAAATATCTAAAGTTTTTATATGCAACTTCTCGTGGTAGAAAAAAACTAAAAACAATTTGGCCCGTCTTTAATACTCCTAAATTATTTTGTAACTACCTTCTCCCATCCCTCCTCCCCTCTCCCCCTCAAAAAAGTGTAAATGCAAAAGAAAAAAATTGTTTGTTAAACTTTTTTCAGATAAATGTTAGCAAAAAATTTGTTTCCAATTTTACTATTAACCGTTGTGATATACCGGGTATATGCAGATCTCCCGAGCTGTGAACGAGCAAAATGTTATCATTGTAAAGTCAGTTTTATTGCCAAAAAATGTCCTCAAGCGTGTAAAGCATGTGGAAAACACTACACCTCTTCGGTATGCTTTCTTCTATGTTACTAATTCTACTCGAATCCAAGTTTAACAGTTATAAGTCAAAAAGAACATGTTTAATGAAGAAAAAAGACGTTTCCATTCCAATCTATCTCACCTTCTTTTTTTCCTGTTTCCAAAACTAATTCCTGTTGAAATCTCTATTTTTCCCGTTTTTTCTCTCCTTTTTTTCCTTGGCTTTATAAAACTCCTGTTTTCCTACACCGCTTTCAGCACTTTCAGTGATGACATTTTAGGTCAGCCCCATGTAGTCTATACAACCGCTTTTATGATGTGCTATAATCTTTAATATGACGGCTTAAACCATTTTTTTTTTTTGACAATTTTAGTGAGAAAAAATATCGAAAATTTACACGCTTCAAAATAACACGTTCCTTGAAAATCCCTCTCAAAAACTAAATTATTAATGAGATATTTGTAACAAAGAAAAAAATACGAAATATCTCATGTCACTGTCTGCTAAAAAATTTCTGACCTAGTAAAATGAGTAAGAGAAGACAAGAACAGAAAATGTTTTTACTTTTCATCTACAAATTCCTTTAAAAAGTCCACAAAACATTGTCATTAAAAACAGCAATTTTTCAAAATTAAACCTTTACAACTAATTATTTTGTCAATTTCAAGACAATTAAAATTATCGATAAACAGATCATCAAGATGTGTCGTTAATTTATGCGCAAATTTTTTGAGGAATCAAAACTAATTCGTCACCCCACTTATGTAGCTGCAGCACAACAAACGCATGAGCTAGTTAAGAGTGGTGGCAGCGGTGTGCTACGCCCAATTTCACAGCCTGATCCGTCCAAAACCAACAGTCTTCCACAGCAGGTAAAAGCAACTTACAAGCACAGAAAAGTGCTTGTTTCTTCTCATGAACCTTCTTGAAAACTTTTAGAAATAACTTAAAACTTGTTTGCGGGAAAAGTTTTCAAGAACTACAGCCACCTTAAAATTCACGAATTACTGTAGAAAAAAGAACCATGATAACCTCCTTGTTATCAGGCACAGCCTACAGTGGCAGAAAGAGTCGTACCAAGAATTCCTTCACCAGCCCAATATTTGAAAAATGGATGGGCACCGCTCGTTGTTACCCCAGACGCCCAAACAATTCAGTTTAAACTAAAAGCAGTCTACGATAACGGGGCAGAGCAGAATACGCAGCAGCACCATCAGCAACAACAAAATCAACAACAACAACAGCAACAAAAGCAACAACTACCAACACAAGAAACTGTTCAAATGGCCTCTGAGGTATATCCTATATAAATTCAAAATAAACTTACTAAACTACTAACTAGACAATTTTACAAATAAACTGTAAGAAAGCAAATGTTTGTAATCAAAAATATCGTCCAGCACCCCATAAATTAGACTAAGAAATGTCATATCTAGATAAAGAATGAAATAGTATTTTTGTAAAAGACTCAGCAGTTTTTTTCCCTGATCCACTCTTTTCACAATCAGAGATATCTGTTTGGTACTGTAAGTATTAAATTAACTGAGAGTGGCGTTCTTACTACTATTAAATGCCGAATTTTAATAAGTGGCTACTCTACAGTTGACTTCAATAATAAACTTGACTAATGAAATACGTCCAAGCAAACTTACAGCGAAGCAAAAAATAAGCGTCCGTTTCAGGCACAGAAGCAACCATCACCAACCAATGCACAGCTAGTAGCTCCTCAATTAAGTCCATATCAAGTAAGCCCTACGCAGCTTACGTTACCTCAACAACAAACACAGAATATCTACTTACCGAACGGGATCCAAAGCGTAGTTCTTCCAACACCAACTGTAATACAACAACAGTCCGCGCCAACTGCTTTGCAACAAAGTCCAGCATTCAACCCTTTCCAACCGTTCTTAACACAAACTTTTAATGCTGTACCCCAAACAAATTACTTTGCAAGCCCATATACACCAGCCTCATTTCCAACATTTTTACCAGTTACACCAGCTCCTCTTCAGGTGATACCATTAACTTAAAAAACAATAGCGTAAAACGCGTTTTAAATGTTGCTAAAACTTTAACTTGATAATCCTCTCAAAAAACTATTTTTTTCTATGATCATACTTTCAGTTACCTCAAAATCCACAACAAAACTTGTTCCAAAACTTACCACAACAACCAGCTTCGCAATTTCTACAGTTCCCAATAAATGACAGGCAAACCACCGTAAACCAAAGTCAACAATCCCAAACGGCTATTTCCAATCATGCTCAGAAGAATTCTCAAATGACGCAACTTTTCTACCAGAAAACGGAAGTTGAACCCGTTAAAACCAACCAGAATGTTCCAACTCCCAGCATACAGCAGCCTGTTCACAAACCTCAAGCAGTACATCAAGTCTTGCAACCTCAAATACCCTACCCAATAAATCAAAAACCTCAACCAACTAATCAAGTTGTCGCTAATCAAGTAAGCAGACAGTAGCTTCTGGCAGTTAATGGTAGCCACAAACAACTTTGAAATAAATTTTAAAAAAAACCGAAAAAATAAAATAAACTGACGAAACAACAATAACAAAAATCGTAAATAATGATTTCAGAAGTCAGCAGAGCAAACACCAGAGAATGCTCCAAAAGTACAAGTCCCAGAGCAACCAATAATTCAGACTAGTATAGATGCTCCTTCAATGACAATACAGAAGTCGATTTATGAAGGAGTGAAACCACCCACTATACCTCAAGTAACGGTTAACTTTATATATATAAATATATATAAATATAAATATATATATATATATATATAT